TGAGTCACAGCGTGGCCCTGCTCTTTGCTCTGATAGTGGCTCCATGGCACTGGGCACACCAGACTGCTCCGTTCGCCATTTGTAATGGGGAGGGTGCCCACAACCTTCGGAGCTGTGAGAGGAACAATCAGGGCTGATAGATGCCAAAAATGTTTAGCAAAGCTGCTGTAATGACTGCGCCAGATTTGGTGGAGAGCAATGACCAAAGCAGCACAGGGGGCTACCATAAATCCACCCCCCAAAGTGATAAAGGATGCTGGGAAGGTAGAAGAGGAATAGCTGTCCTGCGAGGCGCTGGTGATAGAGATTTTCTGGGAAAACCTGCAGTCATAAGCCCTAGCAAAATGCTGTCATGGCTGTAGTGTAAATAGCTTCTGGCAGCTCTGTAAGTAAACTAAAATTGCCAATGACCCATTATATATATATGCCCCAAATTGCCAATGACCATTATAATGATGCCTCTGTTACAGCCTTTGCTAGCAGAGTAATGCTAGAAAATCCCCATGTCCAACCAACCAGTGCCAGCACAAGCTCTCCACCAAGGGAGGGTGAAGTTGGGCTGCTGGCACCTTTGTGCCCTCTGCTCAGGGATCGTCGTCTGGGAGCACGGCTGGGGCTTCTGCTTAGGTGTGGGACATCTTGTAGTGTACCTCACTACTTGTCCCTGGGAAGAAAATGTAACAGGCAGCAGAGTTAAGAAGTTGAAAGCAGGGATTAACAGTCAGCGGACTTACTTACTATTTTTTCCCCTCTTATTTCAAGTGTTCTGCGTAAAGTCTGAAGAAGTCCTTTGCTGAGCTGTAAGAGCGCACCCGGCGAGCACGCACACAGGGAGAGGGGAGATTTCGATCCCTCAGAGAAATCTCTTCTCCAAACTGTGCCCAAGATCATGTAGAAGGGGTGCCGCTGAAAGGAAGAAATGCTCCACTTGAAGTCCCGTAGAAGTCCAACTGCAAACCTGCAACTGGAGAAAGCACTCTGCCCAGCAGCGACCACGGGCAAGCCAAGAGCTCGTTACCCCATCTCGTTTCCCTGCACGTCTGCTCGAGGGAGGATGGCCAGTCTGTGCAATGTTTTCTCCTGTCAAGCATGAAATTAATCTTTAAATTGCTGAGCAGTAACGCAGCCAGCTACTTAATTTGTCAGGGTGACTCACGCACGATAGTATTAAGACATAGGGATTATGCCCTGATTTAGTTTCTCTGCTCTCCTGCAGAAGTGGTTTCCTACAAGACAGGAACTGGCAAGGCAGAGGTTGCTTTCTCAACAGCAGCAGTTCTCTCGAGCTAAATGAGATACCAACCTGTTCACGAAAGCTAAGGACTAAAGAGGATTAAATCCCTGCCTTCTCCACAGCTTGTAATTCACGGTATCTCTCTGTGGCAGTTTTCCTTGGGTTTCGGTAGCCGTTTTATAATGATACAAAGACCCTGCAACAACTGAGAAGGTCTGAGCCACAGCTGCCAGCCTCAAAACTGCACCAGTCTTTTGGTATTGCCGTAGGGAACATCAGCCCTGAAACGTAACCCTTGTTTCTTGAGCCCTGATGCACAGATTTGGCACCGTTGTACCCCTTATTTATTAAAATTGAAAAGCCTCCAAAGAAAACGTGGTGGTTTTTTACGGTTTGCTATGATGCAGATGTTGTCTGCATGGTTGGGTGAGACAGACTGAGATGCGAGCACGGGAGATGACATGGAATGGTGTGTGGGATCTGATGGGGAGAAAACGTAGCTCCTTAAAGCCTTCTTCCTCAAAATCAGCTCAGAAAATGGTGCTTCAAGAAGGGACGCAGCCCATACTCACGTCTCTGGGACTGGTAAGAGTGAGCGGAGAAGTGGAGCTAAGGACGAGCGAGCCCTGGCGCGGGAGAAGGCGATGTCAGGTGCTTTCTCCTGCAAATGACTTGGCTGTATTTTTAGCAGAATTGCTGGGACCGTGGGGGGCCACTGTTCATGTAGCTGAAACAGAGTGGTTTGGAGTGTGGCTTAGATTTACTTGTAACTCCTACAAATGCCTTTATTCCTGCTTCCACAGGACTTTTACAACAGGGAAAATCTAGTGCACTTCAGGGATGTATACACGCGCAGTCAGCTACAGCCTGGTTTTCTGCTTACACCCTCTGGTTTCCTGATGTTTAAATGCTCTGCAAAAAAGTTTGCACAGGCTGGGGACACCAGCATCCCAGTGAGCCTGGAGCAGAGACGGTGACGGCCACAGCCTGCGCTGGCTCTGCACAGGCTCACAGGCAGGCAAGGAAACAAGGAGATGCCTTCGTTACTGAAACAGCGTGCCCAGCCCTCGCAGGGCCATGACATCGTCGTCCTTGCTTCATCCTTGGCGACTACCTCAGCACCTGAAGCAGCTCCCACTTTCCATGAAGTGCTGCAGACTGTGGATGTTTTGCTGGAGGGGAAGGGCGAGCTTGGTTTTCAGTGATGTGCGGTGATGTTACACCTACCTGTGATTCATCTCGGAACCGAAGGGAGCCATTAAATGATTAGGAGAAGATTAGCAGTGGTAAAAGATCCTTGGCAGACAGTAATAGATCCAGCTAGAGAACTCCCAGAAAGTTCTGGCTGTTAGGTGAGTGCACAGCCAAAACATTACAAGACAAGATTTACTGCTCTCCTCGCTAAGCAGGGAGGCGGATTAGACCAATTACATTTTCCTGGTATAAGATTCCTCTGGTGCCAGGATCTGAGTTTGAAAGTTGCGGAGCCAAAACAGGCAGGGCAGGAGCTGGGTATGCAGTATCTTCCCTCCTCTTACTGGGATTCCGAGCAAATCCCCCCCTTGCAGCTCTCCAGAACAGCCAGCTGCAGAGAGGGGTAAATCCTTTCTCAGTACTTTTCAGGCAGTGATCTCATAACGCTGGAATACGTCCAGGGACTGTTACGGGAACTTTCATCAATGTTATTACAGTCTTGTTCTGAAACACCTTACATTTTCTCTTTGCAATGAGCGAGTACGTACGTGTGAGTGCGTTCACTGACGCACTGTCCTTTCAGGACTCGTTTTTAGGTGTGCGAGGATTTCTGGTGCTCAACCAAAATTGCCAGATCCTGTGTTGTCAGAACGTAACGCAAGGAGAAATGACATCTCCCCTGTGTCCGTGCCTCTCTTTCCTCACACTAGGTAGGCAGCCAAGTGAGCAATTCACTTCCTGTTTTCACTTTAAGATGCATTAGAAAAGTAGTTTTGGCACCGCCGGTGTGGCTCTCGGATGGAGCTGGGGAGCCTTAGCTAGCTGCTGGAAAGCAGTACCTCTGCACTCGGAGAGGGTGAGCAACCACCTTCCGTAGAGCAGGCTGCGCTGGCGGCCTCTCGGATCGATACTGTTCCTCTTCTCAGGAAAAGTGAGTATGACTATGTCCCGCCAGTGCTGTAGAGTATTAGCCCAGAAAAGAATCAGCTCCAAACTGGAGCTGGAAAGCAGCTACTGAACAGAGTCAAGAAGAAAACGACGTCAGCCAGGTAGGAACAGGAACCGTGGCCCTCCGTGTTTCCCACCCTTCCCCTGGCACCACCACAGCACACCCGCCGATGCGCAGCGGGGTACAGCCAGCGGGGTGAGGACCACCCCTACGCGTCCTCCTAATACGATGTGTGCTCTTTTATGAAACCTCCGCTGTAACGCCTCTTCCTTCCCCGTTCAGCAGTGAACGTATTTAACTCAAAGGCAAAGACAGAGTAGGCTGGCTGTGATGTACAGCCAAAGCAAAATTAACCTACTCTTTATGTGCCTTATTTAAGCTTTTGGGGACAAAAGCTGTGACACTGTGTTTGTAGAGAACTCAGCAGCTTAAGCCCCTTAATACTAAATTATTAGTCATATTTTTAACAGTTTGTGCTAGTAGTGGCTATTCACTGGCTGGGAATCAAAAGGCAAGTTTGATAAATATCTAGTGAAGGAAGAACGTACTTTGAGTGTTGCATCCATTATTCTAAGAGCTGTTCACTTGATTCCATTTGGGAGCAAGCTCAAATGTGTCTGCGCTTTAGCTGTCAATTAACTTCCTCTCCTGCACTTTGAATTAGAGTTGTTTTCAGGCTCTGGCAGAGGAGCTGCAGCAAATCTTGGTGGGGCAATTTATGATGCTGCCAGCTCTTGCTGCTGAAACTCATTACCCCTGTGCCCGAGTCAGAGGAATGGAGGGTGTAACCTGCCACTGCTTCTTTACACTGAAGCCAACTTACGCTGCCAGTGAAGATCAATTTGGTGCCGAGACAGCTGTGGTGTGGGCAGTTGAATACTTGGGGTGGAAAACTTCAACAGAATGGGAAGGGTGAAGTGCAGGCACCAGTAACTTGTACCTTTGTTTGACTACTATAATTAGAATGTACTCAATTATATTAAGATAGCTCTGCTTGGAGACACCTATCTCACATCTGATATGGTGGTCAGATTCAACTTCTATTTGCTTTCACTCTGAATTTCACGCTTTATTGCTCATCCACACTGGCAAGGTGGTTTCCAAAACTGAACAGACAGGAAAGCACGATGCTGTAGGTTTTTGGTACGCTGAAACTATAGTAAAATGACACTACCTAACCTGGACAGCAAGAACAGAAAAGGGAACTCAAATGCAGAGCATCCCAGCATTTGGTAATTTTTTTACAGAAATATCCAAAATAAATAGCTGGCACCATTAAGAAACGTGTAATATTTCTCCTGTTTGGTGAAAATATTTTCCTTACCCACAGCACATCAATGGGACCCAGTAGTGGCCCCTGCCCAGCATGCCTCAATTGTAACTTCATTAAATGCCTTATTTTGTGCAAAAATTTTTGCTGCTTGGTCTCGGTGAGACCACTACTCGTGACCAGTCTTGAAGTGTAATCACTAACAACGGGATTCAAGTTTTGTTTCTCCTGCTGTTAGGTCTCGGTACCACTGACATAAGCAGTTGCGCTGAGCGCACTAGACAGACCTTACTGCTCTGGACTGTCACAGTCCTCTCTTCTACCTCGGTTATACGACAGGTAAGAGTTCTTGGGTTAAAGTAAATTTTAAAGCTTTATTGGTCTAAATAAAAAACGTACAAAACATTTTTACAATAGAACCTGGTTATTTTTTCTGCGATGTAGCAAACCCAAGGGAACAGGCTCTTTGCATGCAGAATTCAGGACACAGACGGAGCTGCTGACCTTGCACGCCCGGCCTTCGCCTTCCAGAACACAGGCTTCAGCTCACTGAAAGATCTAACTTGCTGCAGGGGCTGCGGTCTTCTGACATAGCCTGGCCAGCAGTCCAGCCATTTGTAAAAGTGAGTTCACACCTTCTACTATCTTCATGTGAGTGTACCCGATTTCCTGGTGATAAAGACATTGTAAAATCTTCTGTTTTCTTCCCCAGTCTATGTATAGTATGACTAAATAGAACATATCCCTTACTGCTAAGACACCAACTTCGAGTCACTCGAACTTCAAAGAAGTGTATCTTCTCATGTAAACCAACTAGAATGCCTTTTTTTTTTTTTTTACATCAAAGCCTGTATTTCCCCACTTCCTTTATAAGAAGCAAGGTGCATACATTTGACGACAGGTTTTAAATATGAAGAGTGATTCCATTATACCAGTTTACTGCTTGTCAACTGGCTGTTAATATAATTTAATATTTTACTATCTATTGGACTAGAATCAAGTATGTGCTTGAAGAAAGGTCTCAAGGAGTTATTTGAGGCTTTGGTGTAAATAGTAAATGCAGCCAGCATTACGTTTGTTATTCATTCTAGTTGATCACTGAAGTGACTTTTGGCACTTGTATGGGTGGTTAGACTTTAAACTTCAAGTGGCCATTCTTGCTGACAAACTGATGATGCAAAGCGCGAAAGCAAGCAGTAATAAGAAGTTAAGAAATACTTTTTTTGCACTAATACATAGCAAATCTCAAAGAGAAAACCCTAAGGCTGCCCCTATATTAGAGATCACATGTTCTTCTTAAAAAGTCCCAAAAGACCCCACCAGGAACTAGGTTAGTACTGACCTTGATGAATTCCAGTTTCAGATATTCTGGCATTTGGAAGGTTTTACACACACGGAAGATGTTGCCAATCACATCTTCTGGAGAGTATCCAAGTCGCCACAGGTGGGCAAGAATCTGTGCAGGCAAGAATAATCCCCCATTTATCTGCAAAACTTATCAGGTGAGTCAAGTGTATTCACTTTTGGAACAGCTGTATATAACTACTGGAACTGCATGTACTATTTGTCAAAATTATTTAACTTCAATTGCTTAGCAAGTAATTTCAATAAAACTTGTTTTTTTCCTTGTAGGCTTACTCATCTGAACAGACCCCTGCATAAAAAGGATTTAATTCATCAACTCATCTGCATGGTATTGCCCTTATCTTAAAAAACAACACACACTGTGAATTCTTCAAAACAAACATGAATTTGTAGAGAAAAAGTGTCTGTCTACACAGACACAACACATGAAAACCAACCTTGTATGCTTCATCAATGTTGGCATTTATGCAGTGTTGTATCATTTCTTTCACAAGCAGAGGATGAGGCTCGTCACATACCTATATCAAAGAGAAATATTACACTTCAAAATATTAGAAGACCCTGCATTAAGCCCCTAGTATTTTCACCAAGCTTCTGTACAGCTGAAGTACTGAATCAGACACATTCTATAATGCAGATTAAAATTTAACTCATATGACTTTTCTGGTAACACAGCTATCCTGGCATAGCAGACTCAATAGCACGAAATGAGAACACCCAAGTAATAGATTCAAAAGTTATCACTGTGACATTTCCCAGCAGTTATGTGATTCCTGTGCTTTGAGAGAGCTGGAAAACCACAGAGTCTCAGACGTGCCATTAGGGACTGCTAGCGCTCTCTCCCTTTTCAAAAGGCACGGGCACTTTTTTACGGCCTAATGCTGTAATTGCTACATATGTAGTGCTGTCTGCAAACTGGCAAAGCACCTTCCAGGCTTATATATCTGACGGAAATTCTCACACAGCTGTAGTGCTAAACTTCTAGCATCGCCATTTTATGCTATTACTAACCTTAAAGACATTTTCACTGTTTATAAAGCCAAATCCAGAATATGTGGACTGTAAGTTGTTTAATGCCTGTGAAAGAAGAAATAAGACTTCATTTATTTTCTGAAGTGCTCTACTTCTCACTTCCCTCCTCAGGATGAAATACACTTTCCAGAAAATGATGCCAAATAAGCAGTTTTCAATTAAGCAACAGAGTAAACCACAAATGTATGCAGGCTTTGTCTCCTCCCACAAATTTGGTATCCAGTTCCCACCAATTCACTTTTAAGGAGCAGATCTACTTTAAAACCTCACAAAACCAAATAGCTTAGTTAACTCTTGTGCCACAGGTCACGTCCCCTTTGTTTTACCTCTCCAAAGAGAAATCCTTGAGAGCCACAATTCAAAGGTTTTTTTGCTTTAAACAGAAGCCTTTGTTTCATTGCCTTTCTTCTTTTACCTGTCTCATATCTCCTTGGGCTGTGAAGATAATGGCTTCTAGTCCATCATCTGTATATGGTACATCCTCTTTCTCAACAATTTTCAGTAGCCTTGCAAGGATTTGTGAATCTGTCAGCTTGGTGTAACGCAGCACTGCACACCGGGATTGAATAGGTTCTGAGGACAGAGATGTGTAATTAGGATTTCCCTCTTTTCTCAAAAAAAAAAAAAAAAAAAAAATTGTTTTCATCTTGGAAGAAGCTATCTCAGTTTCCAACTCTTCATTTGTCATCTTTCAAAGAAAAAGAACATCTGCTCCTAACAGAATATAGCACCTTGTTACAGTCCTTCACGTGAGCCCCAATGTGCTGCTTGAGTTTTCCCAGATATGTACAAATACATATGAAGCTCAGCTGCTTCTGTTCTCCTGGTTTTCTGACTGTACATGTTTATCATGCTATTTTAACTGCTAAACAAGTAAAGTCTAAAGGTCTGTAATGTGTTAGCCTGTAGGCAAACTTAAAGATTATGTTTCAGAAAGAAAACCAAAAAGTGTTCAATACCCAGTAAACAATACATCCAACATCTTAAACTGTAGCAGAGTTGGATGGAGATTAAGCCCAAAGTTTGAGAAATCTGCTTCTGCATAGTACTAGCCATCAAAAACAGCTGTTCAGAGGGTTCACTGGCTACACAAATACACTCTTCTTTTATTACCTGGATGTAGGGGTGGTTTGATTGTTCAGAAGTACCATGGTTTCTTGCAACAAGCTGGTCCAAGGTATTTCTGAGAACTGCTTTGGAAGTTAGCCAACAGTATGGAGAACATAGGACAAAAACTCCCAGGGACTAGCAGCACTTTACCTATGATTTTGTCAGAGGCATTGCATGCAAGTGCGAAGCGCGTTGTTTTGGAATAAATTTCCATTGTTCTTCTCAATGCTTGCTGTGCTCCATCTGTCATGCTGGGGGGAGAAAAGAGTTAGGACAGATTTTGCCCTTCCCTGACTTATAGGTGCAGCCTAATAACTATTTTTATACAAGCTTCAGAGTTGACTGATATTAAACAGTGCTTTGTAAATTACTTGATATTCTAGCTTGATAAACTAAGCAGCTTTTTCTAGTCATGTGAACAAATCACCCTGCAACACAGGTAGTCACCGAGACCTCCATAAAACTAACACGCAAAAATAAATCATTAATACTCTGCAGAATACTGCTAAGACTACTACTTACATCCAGATGGAGGAGAATGTCCCGTTTTCATCCAGTGAAATTGTCTACGTAAGCCAGACTCTTTTCCAAGGGAAAGAGCCAGTAAACTGTAAGATGCTATTTCATATCCAGCTAAATCACAAAGTGTTTCACCCCACTATTCAGTATCTTCTTTGAAGCAATGATCTCTGCTTGATATGAGTAATCTCATAAGAACACCGTTCAATGCATATTTATTTCCTAACAAATTATTTTTGATAGCCTGATAGAAACATCTAAAACTGTCCAAGACAGCAGCTCCGCAGACAGGATAGATGCAACACATTTCACATAGTGGCTGAGGTCAAGAAAAAAACAACGTACCTGTCTGCTTCATCAAGGATGATTATTTTATGCCGACCTTTTGGAAGTGTGACTTTTTGCTGGGCAAACATTTTGATTTTGTTTCTCACAACATCGATGCCTCTGGAACAATAATTCAAGTGATTCATGATCAGTTGGGTAAAATTAAATTTATAGATTTTATTCAGCAGCCACAGTGGCTGGAGCGCTCCTGAGCTCCCTATTCTCCCGCTGTTTGTTCCTGCCCCTTCAGCTGTGCCAGTGTAACTGTTGTGAAACCATGTTGTAAGCCAGACTGCCTAACTGATTCAGGTTTAAACATCGATAATCCTCATTTTTGGAGGCTTTGAAAAATATATATATTTGTATATGTGTATACACATATACATATATATACATATATACACACACACATACTGATACACACATACTGATACTATTAAATTATTTATATACATATCAGTATATATATATATATCAGTAACCTTACAGTACTGCCACAAAACTACTTACGTTTGGCAAAAGGTAGGGGTAATAAATGAACAAGGGCAGAAGCATTTAACATTTCTTTGCTACTTTGGCAGTACTTCACACAGCTATAACTCAGAAGAGTTTAAGAAAAACAGCTGGACAGACTGCATCATTTTAGCACAACACGGGTGCTTTCCTAGACAGAGTCCCAACAAATACTTTTAAAAAAAAGGATTTTACTTTTTTGTTCAGTTTAGAAAATGAATGTTGTGATTCTATAGCTCTTCTATAACTGATATTAGCAAAGGCAGGTAAAATGTATTGTACTTATAAACAAGCCTCTAGGAAATGTCCTCCGAATACTTCAGGATGGGTCTGCTACAGAACTTGGGAAATATAATCAGCCCTTAGTGCCTGATCCTCGGGGTAGAGTCAGTGGCCTCTACGTACCTAACATCCTTATCCTACATTTTAATCCCCAACCGCCCTTATAGCCCTAATTTCTACCACTTCATCTTTTTTCCCAAGCAGTGAAGAGTTTCATTACAAACAACTTGCTCACTGTTCATTCTTAGGAGGATCTTCATGAATGCTGGAAGCTTAACTCGTTAAAGTAAATTCAAAAAACCAGTATCGCTATGGATTCTGCACTCTATCTGTTTCTATTTTTGGCATGAAAGTATCTGTCAAGTTTATAAAACATAAACTAATAATATGTATGTTGATAGCTGGACACCAAAGATTGCCTTACTTTTAGGTGGAAAAAACGCATTAAAATAAGTACTAGAGGCCTTAATATAGCACTAAGCCTATCAAGCCAGCCTGAGTTCAACTAAAAATAAAAACAGATACTTGCTTCTTCATTAAAAGTATAACAAGGATTATTCATTCTCACCTGTCATTTGAGGCATTCAGCTCCAAAACAGCATCCTTTAATGCAGGACCAAGCAGAGCACGAGCCAAGCAGAGGATACTGGTGGTTTTACCTGTTCCTGGGGGACCCTAGGAATGCAACGACCCAGCAATTGCTGGTAAGTTTAACGTCATTAACATCACTTTCTAAGCTGTACTCTACAAAACTCCTCAGTCATGGAAAGCAGCTGCCACAGAGGAACTGCAGAGAGAACATCAGACTCGAGGCTGCCCGAGTTCAGGATCCTGCCTCCAGCAGAGGAGAGAAACGCTGCAGGGAGAAGCACGAGACATGCTTCAGTAGGCACCCGAGGGCCACGTAGTTTTTAACAGAAGGTTGTTCACCATTTGTGTATTCTGCCGAGAACACTGCTCCGTGACCGCACAATCGACATCTCTCTTACCAATACATTCAGGCACAGCGCAAATCTATACGGAGAGGCTATTGGGGCTAGATTTCAGAAGCCAGGACCAACAGAGTGAAATACAGTATAACACAGCAATACTTACAGCAATTATAATATTTGGTACGTTCCCCTCTTTCGCAAAGACCTAAGAAAGAGCAATAATAAAAAAACATATTAAAAAATAGCGGGAACAAGGAGTTTCCAATTCTATTCTATTTTAAGCATGAGAAGCAGAGCAAACCCATTCTTTTCTTCCCTCCTGTTTTCATTTTTTTGGACCTTGCTGCTTTCGTATTTTTTTCAATTGAACCATTAGAAGTCAGTCCCTAGAATAGTACGGAAAAACTGAAAAGCACTTGATCCCCCAGGTCTTTAGTACTCCTGCCTTTCCTTTGCACCTGTTACATGTTTGCTAGTATAAGCTTTCTGTTAACAAATACTGTGTCTACAAAATAATTTGTCAAGGAAAATATTTTTCTTCCAGAAAAACTTTATATTTATGTTTCTGTCTGTTATATAAATTATATTTATTTATTGAAACAATGTTATTACGACAGCTACAAATTTTCTAAGTTGTATCAAAACAGGGCCAATTTAAACAATATCGCAATTCAGGAAGGCGTATTTCCTTCGGATACCACTCAAACATGTCCTAAAACCTGTAATTTCTTATGTAAATCAGAAAGGTTTTTTCCATATACTCAAATATGAATGTAAAAGTACAAAAGTGCTTTTGCTGGTCTGTGGATCTATGCAGAATTATGTTTTTTGAGCTAACCCGTAAAAAGGTACAGCTACACACCTCCAACCTGCTCACAGTATCTTCATTTCCAACTATTTCACATAATTTCATGGGTCTGTACTTTTCCACCCTGTAAAAGGAAAACCCCACACACTTCAGCACGTCTACTAAAACTTTAATAGCGCTTTACGCTGACGGAAAAGGAGGATTACGTTAAGATAACATGGGACAAAGATGACTTGGTGTGTCTTCAGTGCAAACGCTGCAGGGTCCTCCGTGACTGCCAAGCGCAGCATTCCACAACACTCATTCCTTACTGGTTGTTTTACTTCAATTAGTATAAAAAAAAGAAAAGGAAGAAAAACGTGCTCAACTTGGACACCAGGTTGGTGCCTCAGTCTGATACCAGGGCTACGAGGAGATGCCACCCAGTGCGTTCTCTTATGGTTAACGCACGGCAGGGCTGACTTTGTCTGGACTGGCTGGGGACTTCTTCCTTTCCACCCTGGGCTGCCCCGGGGCCGGGGCCGGGGCCGGGGCCGGGGCCGCAGGGTCGAGGGAAGACGAGACGATCCCACCTCCGATCCGCTACCCAACTGCCCCGGGCAGCTCGGGACTGGACCTGGA